CACAGTTGATCCAGAGGAAGGCAAAAAAGACACAGCAAAGCATGATCCAATTTTCTCCTGCAGGGAAAAAATTCCTTTCTGATCCCCAGAGGGGAAATCAGATATTCCTTGAATCAACTTTACCTATAAATGTTAGTATCCAGTTATATTCTGTGTATCTAAGAAGGAATCCAGGCCTTTTTTAATGCAATCCACTGAGCTGGCCAGAACCAACTCTTGAGGGAGTCTATTCCACATTTTCACAGCTCTCACTGTGAAGAAACCTTTCCGCGTTTGGAGATTACATTTCTTTTCCTCCAGACGTAAAGAGTGCCCCCTTGTCCTCTGTGATGACCTCAGGGTGAATAGCTCTACACCGAGTTCACTATATGAACCACTGATGTATTATACATGTTGATCATATCCCCCCTTAATCTCCTCTTCTCAAGAGGGAATAAATTCAGTTCTTCTAATCATTCCTCATAGCTTACACGGTTCCCCTCCCAAACACTGCAGTAACATGGACAGTGCTGTCAAAAAGGAAGCAGTGGGCAGGACTAGGTGTGAGAAGTTGCTGACTGACAAGCTAAAGGCTTGTGTTATTGGCAGTGGTATTTATGGAACTTTGCAGAGGTGGGAGTACAGAAATCTTATTTTACAGTTTGGGATGTCCAAAAGCAGTCCAAATAACAGGTGGGCAACACATCCAAAAAAAGGCTAACAGACCCAATATCAGCAAAGGAGTGCCTAAAGCCACATGAGGAACCCTATGCCTGATTCTGGCATCAAATGAGGCAAAAACATCCACTTGGTAACACAGAATGTAACAGAAAACCAAACAGCAGCCTTACAAACCAGGGAAGCAGAGGCCTGATGACAAAATGCAGAAAGTAGACTTCATAGCCTTGAGCATCCTAGGAATAACATTCTCAGAAATGCCTCTGTCCCTTGAAACCCAAACCTTAGACAAATATGCCTTTAAAGCCTTTAACCAGGAAGCAAGATGATGAATATGTCCTAGGGACAGCAGATCTGGGCGGTCTGGCAGAGGCCACAGAACGACTGCAAACGGTCTTACCAGGTTGGAGTACAACACACTAATGGGCCAATCTAGGGCTATCAGAAATAACACAATGCCCTCCATCTTGAAAGCAGTAAAGTAGTCAAGAAAGAAGCTTAGGGGTGAAAAGACAGATCAAATTGTATTTATAAGACATAAGTGTATCCACTTCTTTCACCATTGAATCCCAGGATCTGAATACAAACCTGTACAGTTTATTTTTAAATCTGGAGGCCAAGAGGTCCACATCCATGACACAGATCTTGGAACAACCTCTGGGTGCGGAGGCCATTTTCCTGGGTCCAGACACTTTTAGCTATGAAAAGCTGCCTGCCAATTGTCCACACTAGGGATGGACATCACTGAGAGCTGAAACATGATGCAATTCCCAAGACAGGATTCACTTTGCCTCTTTGCTACAAGACGTCCTGTTCTTTCCTGATTACTGACGTAAACAATCGGCATGGCATTTTCCAAACCAAAGTTGGATGCCCATTCAATACTCTCTTTTAAGATTCTACTCTCTAACAAGCAGAGCCCTATGACTGCTCTTGTAGTGAATTGTATTGAGACTGTGCCATCTGTCTTCATTTTGTAAAGCATTGTGCCAACTGTCGGAGCTATATAAATCCTATATAATAAGGTCAGTTCAAGGCTAAGGGGAAAGCCAAATTGCCCACAGCTTCAAAATGTTAACCGAGAGACTAGATTCCACCAAAAGACAGGCGTTTATCATCAGGATCTTCCAGGAACATGGAAAGGAACAGCCTCCGAGATGACAGAGCCAGATCTGAAAGCCAGCAATAACCTGGCCCTAATGTTAAACTAATCAGTTTGTCATGGAGAAGCAGAGTCAGGTTGCTCCTGAATTGCAGACCATGAACCATAGACTGGAAAGTCTAAAGCTTCTCCTGGAGAAGGAACATTGGGTCCAGTAAATGTCCAGGTCCAGCCCCAATTGTGCAAGTCAAGTCCAACAACTTTTGAAGGTTCAGGATTTATCTGAACCTCTGTATCTGGAAATTGAGACGATAGTCCACCAGAGCCCTCACCAATTGTTCCTTCAAGAAGAGGGCCAACATTGGAGCCAGTACCCTGAATTGCCAACACTGGAGAACACATGAACAGCAGAGGACAAATTGGAAGGGTCTCAGGGAGCAACAGAAATTGTGCACAGTCCTCAAAGTTCACACCCCTAAAGGATAGAAAAACACTATCAAACACTACTGGAGCCCAGAGCAGAAAATTACACTGAAGACCACACTGAGGGGAGAAAATGAGGAGGCAGCAGGGAACAAAACCCGAGTTTGAAAACCTGGGAGGAAACCTTTTCAAACCAGGTATCGTGGGTGTAAGAGTTCCAAGTGTCCACAAAGGCCAATAGACATCCCCTGCTCAGCAAAAAGGGGGTGAATTTGGCAAACTATTGCAGGTGTCCAGACGTCCAAGCCTGAGGGGGTCTTGACGTGGAAGGGACACTTCTGGGAAAAATGGATGCAGAAGACTTGTAAGTCTGTTCCTTGGGCCTTTCCTGCAGGGAAGGAGGAACATAGGGTAACATCCTAGATCAGCGTTTCTGAACCTTTTTTTCAGTCAAGACACCCTTTAAAATTATGGTCAGTCCCGAGGCACCCGTTAAAATAATGGACAGTGTTGAAGCACCCCATTCTAAAATGGGGTGCCTCTTGACTGTCCATAATGTTAAAAGGGTACCCCATTATAAAATATGAAAAACTATTCTAAGTTTATATAACAGCAACATCCACACATGTAGGACACCCAACGCTAGAGGTGATTTATTCTTCCAAAGCAAATTTTGCACACTGGTACTGACTAGTAAGTCCAGTGTTTCTCCTCTTCCTCAGTTTTTTCCATCACTGAGCTAATGTAATTCCAGCACTGATGGTAAGGGGCAGGGGAGTCTCAAACTAGGATGCTGTGCAAGCAGCCGACATGCTCCTTAACTGATGTCATTTCTTATCAGGACGCTGATGGCTAGAAGGTTGTAATGGTGCACAATGACACCTGTGGCTTTGAGTAACTAAAAGGCAGGCTTGTTCCACCCGCTGGCTTGTATACAAGTTTTGGGCAACTTTTAGACATTTTTTCAAGGCACCCCTGAAGAAACCTCAAGGCACCTAAGGGTGCCTGGGCGCCCTGGCTGAGAAAGGCTGTCCTAGATTATAGCAACGAGTGGGTCCAAAAACATGTTGCCCCTTGAAGGCCATGAAGAGCAAGCACTTCTTTCAAGTGTGTTCCAGCAGTTTAGCCATAGAGCTCAGCCACATTGTGTGTGTCTATAGATGCACACAGCCTGGCTCAGGAGGTGCACACCCAGGAGCACACAGCTTACTATGGTGGCACACTGAGAAGAGGAGCTGAGAGGACTAGGGGACCCCAGAAGAGGAGGTTTGGGGCCCCATCGCAATACTATTGCTCAGAGCAGGTAAGTATAACATTTGTATTATTTTAATTAAAAATAAAAACCTTTACAATCACTTTAAGGCTGTAGGACCTACCTATTGCTAGTACTCAGGGCTACAGTTCTTTTTGTGTGCACAATCCTCCTGTAGGCTGCACTATAACTAATGCTCAATGAATGAGAGAAAGTCACGTTTCTTCACAGTTCTGAACCTGTAACAGAAATAAAAGCAGATCTGTGACCACAGACTGTCAGTGAAGTGTACCAATGAGCTGATTTTACACAGCAGCAATGTCCCCTAGTTAGCATTTCAAGGACTGACTTGCTGCTCCACGTTCACTCACAGAATCTCCTGAACCTGTGCAGCTAGCAACGCCAAAGAAATGCTAATAAACAGTAAAGCTGCTCATACTCTACTAGAATTTTGTTCAAAATGTTATGTCTTATGAATGTTTGTTCTATTTTCTAATGGTTAGTGCAATGAACGGTGCTCCTTTTTCCACCACAAGAATGAGAAAATTCAAAGGAGCAGGATGGAAAATTTTTCTTGAACAAATTAATTTCTAACAGTGTATGTGGTGTTTTCATTTGGGAAAGTCCATTAATTACAAAATCTAAACTTAAAGGCAAACTACATTGTGAAGAATTTTCAAGCAACATTTATTAAGTGATCGAATATACTAACAATTTCTGTACAGTCAATCGAAAAAATCTACTAATGTATGGCCAGCTTAAAGCAGAACCTCACTCTCTCAATCAACATGGACTATTTCTAATCCTTATGCTGCTAGCATTAGTAAATGGACAGCAAAATATATCATATTTACTTGTTTTAACTTAGTTTTTTTTGTATTCCTTAATTTACTTCCTGGCTTCCATGCCTAGGTAAATGATGTCATATATCCCAGGAGTCTCCAGGAGAGGAGGGAGGGTTCTCAGCTCAGTCAATGCCTGAGCTAAGGACAGATGAATTCTAGGGTGTAACTGCTACATGAATCATCTGCCCTTACTCAAGATGGCCACTGCCAGTAATGCCAGGAGGTAGTTTTTCAAAATGATTTCTCAGCAAAATAAAGCATGGAGACATGGATGGATGGAGGAGTTTGTTTTGCATATTAAAAATGAATTACACAGCATTTTTAGTTTGTGGTACTCAGATGCAGTGCAGTTCCACTTTAAGATTGCTTGAATAAAAGCAAGCCGTGTTCAGATTAAAAGCATACAATGCAAAAAGGTAAGCATAGTGTAATCCTTTTAATAACACAATGCATATTTCTACACTTAAAACAGCATCATAACAATAATAAAAAAAAAAAAAAATAATGGGTGTTTATTCACACAGGGTCAAAAAAATGAGAAAAAAAAAGAACACCCGGTGGTGGAGGAGGGTGGTTTTCGAGAGGGGCATGGAGCATTTTGCCAATTTTAGTTGGATGATGTAACTCCCGAAAGAATGCAGGAGCAGTAAAAGAGCCAAATGATGTCCTCAAATGATAAGTTAAAATGTTCAGTCTTCTGGATGAAGCACATAAAACTGTACTACTTGATGTATTTCTCCATGAATTTCTTGTGGAACTCAGAACGTAGGGTGTCGTTCACAAATCTCTTGTCTTTTTTCATTTCATCCACTCCTTTTGCGCAGTTCTTAAATACCACATCATCATCCCACCTGCAGGCAGAGAGAAGTCGGCACTACAGATTAATAAATACACAGATTTATACAAGCCAACAGCACATGGTAAGATACATTATAGCATCTGCAAAGAGCCAACTGTAAGGCCTTGTTCATACAGTCATACTACAGTGTACACTTGTGGAAAGGTCGTGATTACCCCCACAGGGATGCATGGGGTGCAAGCAGTCCCATTCACATCAGTTGGCATGCAGCAGATGCACGGACACAGCTGCTGCTCCCAATCTGACATCCATGCGGATGAACGGCCCTGAACGCAGTCACTGTCAAATTGGGGGAGCAGCAGCTGTGGAGCCGATTCATCTCAACTGACATGAATGGAACTGCCTGCACAGGGATGCATAAAACTACATCCTCATGAGGGTAAACACAACCCTCACATAGGTGTACGCTGTAGTACACCAGTGTCAACGAGGCCTAGCTCTGCAAAATCAATACAATTCTAAAGGCGTATTCTGGAAAACAGCTGCAAAATATAGTGCTAGAATGGAGGGTCCTAAAAATCTTTCAAACTTATTTTAGTACTGAACAAAGCATAGACTCACTGCCCACTTTATTAGGTACACCTGTTCAATAGCTTGGTAACACACATTGCTAATTAGCCAAATCACATGGCAGGAACTCAATGCATTTAGGCATCTAGATGTGGTGATGACGACTTGCTGAAGTCTAAACCAAGTATCAGAATGGGGAAGAAAGGGGATTTAAATGGCTTTGAACGTTGCATGGTTGTTGGTGACAGACGGGTTGGTCTGAGTATTCCGAAAACTGCTGATCTACTGGGATTTTCATGTCCAACCATATCTAGAGCTTACACAGAATGGTCCAAAAAAGAGAAAATATCCAGTGATCGGCAGAGGTCAGAGTAGAATGGGCAGACTGGTTCCAAATGATAGAAAGGCAACAGTAACTCAAATAACTACTCATTACAATCAAGGTATGCAGAATACCATCTATGAACGCACAACAAATTGGACCTTGAAGCAGATGGACTACAGCAGCAGAAGACCACTACTGTCAGCTAAGAGCAAGAAATGGAGGCTACAATTCGCACAGGCTAACCAAAATTAGACAATAGAAGATTGGAAAAAACATTGCCTGGTCTGATGAGTCTCGATTTCAGCTGCAACATTCAGATGGTAGGGCCCGAATTTGGCGTAGACAACATGAAAGCATGGATCCATCCTGCCTTGTAACGGTTTGAGCTGCTGGTGGTGTAATGGTGTGGGGGAGATTTTCTTGGCACACTTTGGACCTCTTAGTGCCAACTGAGCTTTGTTTAAACACCACGGCCTACCTGAGTATTGTTGCTGACCATGTCCATCCCTTTATAACTATAGTGTACCCATCTTCTGATGGCTCCTTCCAGCAGGATAATGCACCATGTCACAAAGCTCAGATAATCTCAAACTGGTTTCTTGAACATGACAATGAGTTCACTGAACTCCAATGGCCTCCACAGTCACCAGATCTCAATCCAATAGAGCACCTTTGGGATGTGGTGGAATGGGAGATTCACATCGTGGATGTGCAACCAACAAATCTACAGCAACTGCATGAGGCCATCAATATGGACCATAATCTCTGAGGAATGTTTCCAACACCTTGTTGAATCTATGCCACAAAGAATTAAGGAAGTTCTGACGGCAAAAGGGGGTCCAACCCGGTACTAGCAAGGAGTACCTAATGAAATGGCCGGAGAGGGTATATTTTTCTTTTCAATCACATAAAGAACACAAAAATCGTAAGCTGAACTCCAGTTTTGTGCCAGCTCTTAAGGGTTACCTACTTGTTTCTGTCTAGGACATTAGAAAAAGCAGATTTACTTACATGATCCTTTGCAGGCTCCTCTGCACTGTTAAACCAGTTTCCTCAACCTCTTCTCCCTCATGCTGCAGTGGTCTAAGGTCCTCTGATGTCATCAAGACTGATACAAGGTTCATAGCCCTGCACTTAAAGTGAGGACATTGAGGAACAGCAAGGGGGATTGCTATCCGCCAGGGGATCATAGGATTGTGCTTTCACTGTCTCTAAGACCAAGCAGTTAATCTTTGCAGTGCAGGCACAGCCTCACTACAAGGGAGAATTGTTAGGTTTCCTGAAGCTTTACAGGGACAAGAAACAGCCAGATCGCTGCCTGGTGTACAGAATCCTATGTGTTTATACTAAAAACAAAGTGCGGGTCAGCAGGGAGCGCGTGAATGTGCGCCCCAAACCTGGAAGAAGGCTTGCAACGTTTATCTCCATTGCGGAGCCTGCAGCTGCCGCTCGGTAGATCTACTGTGGCTGAGCAGCAAGTTATTAAATTAGGAAAACTATAAATTAACAAAACATCGCTTGCAGCCGATTACAAAAAATAAATGTGATAAAACAGGATGTGTTGAGGAGGTGGGTCCATCATTCATCCGCCCATCCTCTATCACTGGAGAAGTTTGGAGCATAAGTCAGGCTCTCTTGATGAGAGTCTGTGGCAGCCCCTTTAGTTGTATTAACCCCCACTGTACTAGACGATTACAGCAGAGAGGGGGTTGGGGGCCAGGACAGAGAAAGATTTTCAGAAGAGGAATCAGCACAAGGGACATCACACTGACTATAAGTTATCTCCCTTGTGCGGATTTACGTCCCTCGTTTGTGATTTTGGCACTTTGGCTTTAAACATACATGAAGCAAATAAAAGCTTAAACAAAAAAAATGTTAAAAAGATAAAAACACACATGAAACAAACGGAGAAAGAAAACGCATGTTTCTATAAAAATGACAAGTGTAAACAGGGCCTCTGAAGATAGTAGTTTTGTAAAACAAAAAAGTATCTAATCATTAAGAACCACATCATCAAATACCTTCTAACAATATATAAACTGGTTGTCCATTTGACAGTGAAGCAAGGTCTTTTACCTCTACTGCTGTAACACTGCAGTTCAGCTAATATCACACCTTCAGCTTGCTCACTGGACAATGATGGAGCAGCAGAAGAGTGATAAGTCATCACCCTGTTCTCTCCTTTTGTCCTACATCTGCACATTGGCTCCTTGTGCTGCCCATCTTTTTATCGGTTCTGCAGTGGACTACAGCAGGGAGGCATGAAGACAATTTCGGGTACTTACACTAGTCTCTGTAAAAATACATTTCAAGCCGAATACTACGTTTACTGTCCCTTTAAATAGCTTGACTGGGCCAAGCTGGCCCAAATGAACTATTTACTGCAACAGTCGCACTATGTAGTCTCAGCTACATACACTATACAATGCGGTGCTGCAGCAGTGGGACTCGAACTTCCCGTCACACTCCTGGAACAAGACAGAGTTGGGTTGAGCGATGCTCAGCCTTTCATAGGAACTTTTAGGTTTTATTTAAACGTTTTATTTTAACAATATTGTTTCAGAAGTGGGGCAAGGAGTTCCGATCTCATGGCCAGAACGAAGTACTGTGTACTCCAAGTAGCTAAGGCTAAGGGCAGTTAATACAGCGCATCAAGCAAGCGCAATTGCTCACGCAGTACATAGTTTATTTGGGCAAGCTTGGCCCAAATGAGCTATTTAAAAAAACAAAAATAGACATCATTATGAAGCCATGCTTTAACTTTTTTCTTAAACATTTAAAAAAAAAAATACTTATGTTCTTTTATTTGGCTGGAGTCCAGCTTTAACAGATACAAAATACAGAAGATAATCCCTTAAAATACTTCCTAATATATACACAGACTAAAAATACTGCATATGTAATATTTACCTTCGCTTTACTTTAAAACTGGCTTGAGCCTGTGCAGGGCCTGTGAGGTTCAGCAGAGGGTTGCCACTTAATATATTCTCCATTCGAATTCTCTCCTCTTCCGCTTTCTGTTCTAATTCCTTTTTAAGTAATCACATAGATGTTAGCGGTCATCTTGCAGTGTTAGAGGACATTTATCTGTCTTAGATTAGATGTGGCCATTTTCCACAGAGGTGCCCAGCTTTCTGCATATACTTAGGAGTATCAGTAGAAGCTGCTGTGCTGTCTGTTGAGCTGTGATGTGCCGTTGCCTAAATAACAGGTTACAATGGAACAATGCACTATGGAGGCCAACCTGAAGTTATGTCATTTGTAGTATCAGAGCTCATGAACTAGTGGGAAACATACTTGACATATGACATCTAAAGCGTGGCCCCTGTCATTACCAGATGCCCATACATAATGGTCAGTGTATGTATTGATACAAAACAGAGATTAGAGGTACTACAGTAGATGGTAGAAGACTTTGGAGATGCTACAGGATGTGGTCAAAGACTGCTGTGTTTGCAGACTGGAGACATGCAACAGACCGCCATTCAAAATGGACACTAAGGTGTAACAACGCACGCAATGCGCAATTGTGAACCTGGTCTTATCAAATGCTATTATTCCCTCCTGTAAATTATTCTTATTCATATCCAGGTATGGGGTTAGATTTCAGTGTAGACGCACACAATGGTAAGAAGTGTTCATTAATAAAACAAAACCAAACAAGGCAAATTTTCATCTTGCAGGCATTTGGCAGCTGAGAAAGTACTAGCCAATTAGTTCGCAAACTGTGGTTCACAGATTGCCAGTAGGCCTCAGCTTTGGTCTACAGATGGTGGGTAGCAGGATGGTGAAGCCTCCACCTCTACAACTTCACGCAATCAAGCCAGGACCGAACATCTGCAGTGCTCTGCACTACGGTGCGTGTGCATGATAAAACCAATGAGCCTTCCAATGAAGATACTCTCACAATACAAAAGTTACCAGTATTACCAGTAGACTTCCTGCAGCTGATCTTTGCTCTGTTATTGCCTTACCATTCCTGGTTCCACAATGTGTCTCTGTGTGGAGGAGGCCATCTTAGAAGAGAAGAGGGGCTTTGGTTCCTCATGTCAAAGCTGCCTCTCTTGATGACCGGTTGGCAAATATAATTCAGCAAAAAAAAAAAGGTGCAGAAGACCTAGATCCACAGAATGAATGAAGCAGTAGCAAGGAGATCTTGCTCTGCAGGTCCTCCGGTAGGGTTTCCATTCCAGCAAAAAGAACAGTGACCTGCGCCAGAGTGACGTCAATAATTCTCGCTCCACATCTCATTAGACTAGCAGAGGCAGCAGTGCCTTAGATCTCACACTGCAAATATACTGCTAAAATGCTTAAAGGCACAGGAGTGTACTGCTGTTTCCAGGAGAAATCTTTCAGGATAGCACAATGAACATTTCCAGATGTCTCCAATATCACAGCAAATCTTCACTTTTTAAGTACAGGTTAACCTTAAAGTGGTTGTAAAGGCTCAAGGTTTTTTAGCTTCATACATTCTATGCATAAGGGTAAAAAACCTTCTTTGTGTAGTAGCCCCCCCAAACACTTACCTGAGCCCCATCCCAATCCAGCGATGTCCACGAGAGCCCCGGTTCTCCAGGGACTCTCACTCCTGATTGGCTGAGGCCAATGGCTCCAGCTGCTGTCAATCACAGCCAGTGAGCCAATTAGTAGAGAGAGGGGGCAGGGCCGAGCTGCGGCTCTGTGTGTAAATGGATACGCAAAGCTGTGGCTCTGGAGCAAGCGTGCTTCGGTGCCCCCATAGCAAGTTGCTTCCTATGGGGGCACCATACAGTAGGGAGGGGCAAGGAGCACCGGCAGGAGACCCAAGAAGTGGAGGATCCGGGCTGCTCTGTGCAAAACCACTGCACAGAGCAGGTAAGAATGACATGTTTGTTATTTAAAGAAAAAAAAAAAAAAAATCAAGATTTTAGTATCACTTTAAAATACCTTGTAACGGGTCGAGCCAGCGGGATCACCTACAAAGACTGCACAGTAAGCAACGTTTCCTAGTGTCTTCACTTTTTTGCCAACCGCCAGCCCATCCCAATTAAGTTTTAAATGATCCCTCAATGTTTTCTCATCTGCTTCTTCTGTGTGTATGAATATTTGGCCTTTTACGTATATGGAATGGCCTATTCATGACCACTATAGCCCCTTGTCCAAGTATCAGACTATTTTATTCGTGTAGGGGGTTCATATGTGAAAAGGTTAATGGAATAATATGTTTCTGATAAACATTAGGACTTTTTTCTTGTCTCTAGCTGAGATAGATATACAGTGCATTCATAAAGTATTCAGACCCCTTCACATTTTTCAATTTTATGTTGCACCCTAGTACTACAGTTCTTTAGATTAATTTTTTTCTCATTACTCTACAGTCAGTACCCCATAATGACAAATATAAAACAGAATTTTAGAAATATTTGCAAAACATGGATATATCAAATTTGCATAAGTATTTAGACCCTTAGCAGCCACACTTGAAACTTAGCTCAGGTGCCTCCCATTTCTCTTGATCATTGCTGAGATCTTTCTACACCTTGACTGGAGTCCACATGTGGTAAATTCTATTGATTGGACATGATTGGAAAGGCACACACCTCTCTATATAAGGCCTCACAGCTGACAATGCATACTGTATCAGAACAAAAGCCATGAGGTCAAAAGAACTGCCTGCAGAGCTCAGACAGGATTACTGCAAGACTACAAAAACATTTCTGCTGCACTGAAGGTTTCCAAGAGCAGAGTGGCCTCCATAATTTCCAAATGGTACAGCCAAGACTCTTCCAAGAGCTGGTCGCCTGCCCAAATTAAGCAACTGGGAGAGAAGGGCCTTAGTAAGAGAAGTGACCAAGAACCTGATGGTCACTCTGACAGCTCCAGAGATCCTGTGTGGAGATGAGGCAAAGTTCCAGAAAGATAACCATCACTGCAGCCCTCCATCAATCTGGGCTTTATGGCAGAGAGGTTAGACAGAAGCCTTTTCTCAGAGCAAAACATTTGAAAGCCTGCTTAGAGTTTGCAAAAAAGCACCTGAAGGACTCTCAGACTGTGAGTAACAAGATTCTCTGGTCTGATGAAACTAGGATTGAGCTGTTAGGCCTCAATTCTAAATGTTGTGCCGGAAGGCAACCAGGAACTACTTATCACCTGCCCAATACCATCCCAACAGTGAATTATGGTGGTGGCAACATCATGCTGTTTGGGCGTTTTCCAGCAGCAGGGACTGGGAAACTGGTAAGGGTTGAAGGAAAGCTGAAAAGAGCGAAGTGCTGAGATATCCTCAATGAAAACCTGTTTCACAGCATTCAGGACCTCAGACTGGGCTGAAGGTTGACCTTCCAACATGACAACAATCCTATGCACACAGCCCAGGGAACACAGGGGTGGCTTAGGGACAATGCTGTGTATGCCCTACAGTGGCCCAGCCAGAGCACTGATTGAACCCTATTGAACATCTCTGGAGAGACCTTAAAATGTCTGTCCACCAACAGTCCCCATCCAACCTGACTGCGCTTGAGAGGATTTTTAAAGAATGGCAGAAAATCCCCTAATCCAAGTGTCCAAAGCTTGTCGCATCATACCCAAAGACTCGAGGCTGCAATTGCCGCCAAAGGTGCTTCAACACAGTACTGCCTGAACACTTAAGTACATGTGATATTTCAGTTTTTTTGTTTATTTTATAAATTCACAGACATTTCTAAAATTCAGTTTTCCCTTTGTCATTGTGAGGTACAGAGTGTAGATTAATGAGAAAAAAAAAATGAATGGCAACTGTAGTAGTACATGACAAAACTGACAAAAGTGAACAGGGTCTGAATGCTGTATGAATGCACAGTATTAGAAATTAGAACCAGATATTATTTAGATTTGATCAATCATGTTTTTTAAAAAATTAACTTTAAACTTCCCTGCATCTGTGAATGGTGTATGGCAGCCCCTAAAACATAAATGTAAGAACCACAGTGCTGCTGGGATTATCGGGGAAAAAAAAATAATACTTTTATTAGAGATTTTTAAAATATATATATATATATATATATATATATATATATATATATATATATATATATATATATATATTACATACATATACATACATACACACTCTCAGCATAAATGAGTACAGACCAACAGATCTGTCAGAAAACCTTTCCTTTCCTTTCAGAAACATGTTCTGGGGGACACTATACTACAAAATCCTCCCACAAATGCGGGCCATTGATTACACACAAGATTTCTTAATTTGCACTCACAAAAAAACTTTTTCCCTAACAAATTTGTTCAAGGCCATGTTGCAAAAATGAATACACCCCAATGAAAGTCTTAAGAGCGAAGCTAAATTTTAGACAACAAAATTCTAATTAACAAGAATTTAGCTACAGGTGAGTCTAATCATTCATTAACAGGTGACCAGCAGACAGATGATTATAAAAAGACGTTACTTAGAGAAAATCCCTTCCCATTTCATGCTGTCAGTAATGGCACCACATGGAAGAGAAATGTCACAAGGCCTGAGAAAGAAAATACATTTCTTTACACAAGAAAGGTGAAGGCTACAAGGAGATCAGCAAAGAATACTGTAGCAAAAGTGATACAAAAATTTAACAAAGATGGAACTGCAACCATCTTACAGAGACGTCCAGGCCATCCACAGATGTTAACACCTCAGCAGAAGCGGTTTCTGATGAGAAAGGTTGAAGAAAATCACCATACAAGTTCACTGCAGTTAGCTAAAGAAGCAGAAAGCCAAACTGGGGGGACTGTTTCCCGTGACACAAAGTGGCATACAGTGCAGAGGAATGGCATGCATGGGTGTCGTAAACGAAGGAAGCCTCTCCTGAAGTCCATGTACAAAAAAGCCTGCCTAGAATTTTCCAAGGCCTATGCTGAAAAAGAAGACTAATAGGACTCTGTAACCTGGAGTGGTGAGACCAAGATTAATGTTTTTGGAACTAATGGCTTCAAAACTGTATGGTGTCATAAAGGTGAGAAGTACACAGAAAAATGCATGGTGCCTACAGTGAAACATGGTGGTGACAGTGTCCTCCTGTGGGGCTACATGAGTGCTGCTGGTGTCAGGGAACTGCATTTCATTGCTGGTATCATGAATTCACAGATTTACTGCTCTATATTGAAAGAGAAGATGCTACCATCACTCCATGCCCTTGGTCGTCCTGCACTTTTCCATTATGACAATGATCCAAAACACACATCTAAGGCCACTGTTGCATTTCTGAAGAAGAACAGGATGAAAGTGATTTAGCAGCCAAGTATGTCTAATGATCTGAACCCAATCGAACACGTATGGGAAATTCTGAAGAGACGAGTTGATCACTTTTCATCCAGCATCCAGGCTCTAAAAGAGGTTGTTCTTGAAGAATGGAAAAATATGGTTGTTGCAATATGTCGCCAACTTGTTCATTCCATGCCTAGAAGACTTTGTGCTGTCCTTACAAATCATGGAGGTCATACAAAATACTAGATGTAGTAGTTTTTGTTGTGGGGGTGTATTCATTTTTGCATCAACTAATTTGAGTAAAAGTGAAGATTTTGTAATTTAAGTTATATTGATAACCTTACTTTCATGTAATGAGCTAAACAAATGTTCTATAAAACTCAGTTTTGTCAAAATTTTGGAAATTGTTCTTGTGTTCATTGAGATGTTGATTAAAATCTTACTTTTCAAAAGGGGTGTAACTCATTTATGCTGAACACTGTATATCTAGCTAAAGCTGCCCCCTAGTGGTTAACATGTAAACTGCAGGAATCAAAGATACATTTCAGACAGCAGCCTACTTCTTACAAAGCTTCAGTGTCCTAGTAAACATTTCTGCTCATTCCAGCTTGCTTGCTTGTGTCCATTATAACGCCACCTACTTTTACATCTTCCCAACAATTTACAAACCTTGCCAAGTACACTCACTTACCACAGGCATGCTAGAACAAAATCATTAAAAAATGCTAAGAGGACCAAAAGAAGGTCTTCACACATCATCACAAATCCAACACACCAGGTTTGGCTTCTTCCCACCCAGCCCCAGTGTCCATTTAAGAGTTTGTACGCCCTGGGGACAGGAAGAATCGGCGATCATGTGACCACTCAGTAGGGATTGAGAGTTGTCAGATTGATCCCTATGCTGGGAATGTGCTTTTAGCACAATCACCTGCCCAGTGAAGCATATGTGTGGCACATGGCCATTACAGCTCACCCTTTTGCCACTGCACATATCTTACACAGGTGGCAACAGGTAAATGAAAATCTAAGGACAGTGGCTGGAAATGAATTATTCCTTAATGCCTTGGTGGCCAGGGGGCTCCAAGACTCCCAAGTGACACCACAGATGCAGCCTATATTAATCATCCATTTGTCCAGCTTTCATACAACAGTTTCTGGTTTATTAACTCAGCAAAGTGAAAACCAAAGTTTCACCAAGACAAGATTTGAGGAAAAAAAAAAAAAAAAAGACACTGTAACGAACCAGATTGTTTTGAGTTGGGCATTCTGTCCTCTTGGCAGACCAAAAAAAACACATTTACATATAAAAACCATTTTCCCACAAAGGAAAGTCATTGCCCTTCAACATTTAGCAGCTGAGTGTCATTTTCAGAAGGTACAACATGACAGCAATGAGGAAAAGGAGGTGAAAGATGACAGGAACACAGGGAAGTGAAGTGGTATGCACAATGACAAGCCATGATCCAAGAATGATTTTCATGAACAAATACTGCACACACTAGAAAATGTTTTTGTTGTAAAACATTTTCAGGACAGAAATTCTAAGCAATAAAAAATATTGATGTGTAAAAAAACAAGTCATCAGTTTTGTTGTTCTTCACTGAATAAGCTCAATCAGCGCAGGAATTCATTTCCCAGCTCCTCGCCCTTACCTTGCGAGCCTGTTCCTCTGCTCGCTCCTTCTTGATCTTCTCCAGCTCTGCCAGGAGGGCGGCGGTATCATCATCGCTGTCTTCATCGGAGTCGTCATCGTCGTCTTCCTACAGGGAAATGCATAAATACATTGTAAGCTCTGTTCAATCAGAGTGAGCACAAAACCATTTTTTTTTTAGAAGAATACACTTGAACAAGAAGACTGTCATGATTCCTTAGCACTTTACACAAGTGTGTAAAGTTATCTTACACACTTGTTTTGTCTTCTATGTCTGAAGTGTTGGCCAGGTGGGCATTGGATGCAGTGGAAGCCCCAGGGCCTAACAAAGAGCCTTTAACAAACCCAGAGCTAAGGAATCATGACAGTCTTCTTGTTCAAGTGAAAACACAAAAGGGCTCTATGTGAGCTTCCCACTACCCACAGAGCCACGTGAAACGAGGTTAGAGTCATGGCTGACAGCTGAGTGAGCAGGGAGCAGCAGCAGACCAGACCATATTCCAGAGGGAATTCCAGTTAACATTGAGAGTGTTATCTCTTAAATGCGCACATTGATTGCGCATCTGGTGAGTGCGCAGTCTTTTACCAGTTTGGACACCATCACCTTTAAATATATTATCAGATTCTAAGGATCCTGGTGATCTTCCATGCACCTAACCCACTGGGATATTGTGGACTATATACTCACATATATCACTATGTATGATTAGTCATGACGCAGTGACATGAATTAACTATATACGTGGATTATATGTTTTGCACTTTACTGTATGCACCATTGTGTGTCACGTGCAGTGACAAGTATCATTGAACACGTTGAGTCACGTTGTTTATTTATATATTTATTGATTAAGCACTTTATTAAGTCACCTTCTGCTTATGTTTACATACATTGTTTTGTGATATTCTTTCATGCAAGTGCTGCACCCACTGATTCAGTTTTCATTTGTTTACACTTCAGTTTACATCTGGGTTTTTTTTTTATATTAATAAGTTGTTTTGTATCGGTTTACATCCTTCTAAAGGAAAAAGGACGGAGCTTTGTTGTGTTTAACCATTTGCCCTCCACAATATTCCCCCCCCCCCCCCCCCCCCCCCCTTCATGGCCAGGCCATTTTTACTATTCATTGCTGCACTATTTCAACTGGTAATTGCACGGTCATGGAACACTGTACACATACTAAATTTATGTCCTTTACACACAAATAGAGCTTTCTTTTGGTGGCATTTTATCACCACTGGGTTTTTTATTTTTTTGTGATATACCGTATTTGCCGGCGTATAAGACGACTGGGCGTATAAGACGACCCCCCTACTTTTCCTGCTAAAATGTAGTGTTTGGGCTATACTCGCCGTATAAGACTACCCCTCTTCCAATGCACACCAGTGGGAGGAATAGTGCCCCATCATTGATGTCAGTGGGAGGAATAGTGCCCCATCATTGGTGTCAGTGGGAGGAATAGTGCCCCATCATTGGTGTCAGTGGGAGGAATAGTGCCCCATCATTGGTGTCAGTGGGAGGAATAGTGCCCCATCATTGGTATCAGTGGGGGGAATAGGTGCCCCATCATTGGTATCAGTGGGGGGAATAGGTGCCCCATCATTGGTATCAGTGGTAGGAATGGTGCCCCATCATTGGTATCAGTGGCAGGAATAGTGCCCCATCATTGGTGTCAGTGGGAGGAATGGTGTCCCATCATTGCTGTCAGTGAGGGGGGGAATAGTGCCCCATCGTTGGTGTCAGTGGGGGGGAGGAATAGTGCCCCATCGTTGGTGTCAGTGGGGGGGAGGAATAGTGCCCCATCGTTGGTGTCAGTGGGGGGGAGGAATAGTGCCCCATCGTTGGTGTCAGTGGGGGGAGGAATAGTGCCCCATCGTTGGTGTCAGTGGGAGGAATAGTGCCCCATCGTTGGTATCAGTGGGAGGAATAGTGCCCCATCATTGGTATCAGTGACACCAATGATGGGGCACTATTCCTCCCACTGAGACTTGCTGACCCTGTTCTCGTATGGTGCTGCTGCAGCCAGCATATGTGGTTTGCAGCAGCACCTCTACACAGAACACTTACCTGCTGCTCCGGCACTCAATTTTCGCGGGGCCGCTCGGCTCCGCCCCCTCGCCGGTGATTGGCCACCTGTGTGCCTTTCCTGAGCTACAGTTCTGGCGGCCAATCACCGGTGAGGAGGCGGAGCCGAGCAGCGCACGAACATCCAGTGGCCGAACTGAAGGAGACGCCGCGCTTCCTGGACCGGATCGTCGTGGGACTGGATCCAGGTAAGAGACATCAGCCCCTGCAAACCCCTGTACTTAATGCCGCAGCCCCCCTAACATGTGTACCGGCGTATAAGACGACCCCCGACTTTTGAGAAGATTTTCAAGGGTCAAAAAGTCGTCTTATACGCCGGCAAATACGGTAATTGAAAAAGACCAAAAAATTAAAATAAACAATATTTTCTACTTTCAGTTATAAAAAAATACAATTAACTCAAAGTTAGTCATACACTTAGGCCAAAATGTATTCTGCTATAAGTCTTTGGTAAAATAAAAATAAAATAAATCACAATATGTGTAAATTAATTGGTTTGTGTGAAAGTTGTAGCATTTACAAACTGGTATATATGCTCAAAAAAAGTAAACGAACACTTTGAAAACCCATCAGATCTCAATGGGGAAAAATCTCATGCTGGATATCTATACTGATCTGGACGGGGTAATGTGTTAGGAACGTAAGGATGTCCCATTGTTTGATGGAAATAAAAATGATCAAAGACTGAATTTAAAGACACCCGGAAAATCAAAGTGAAAAAATGATGCAGCAGGCTAGTCCATTTTGCTGAAATTTAATTGCAGCAACTCAAAATGGTACTCAGTAGTTTGTATGGCCCCCACGTGCTTGTATGCTCCTAATGAGACGACGGATGGTGTCCTGGGGTATTTCCTCCCAGATCTGGACCAGGGCATCACTGACCTCCTGGACAGTCTGAGGTGCAACCTGGCGGTGTCAGATGGACTGAAACATGATATCCCAGAGGTGTTCTATTGGATTTAGGTTAGGCGAGCGTGGGGGCTATTCAATGGTATCAATTCCTTCATCCTCCAAGAACTGCCTGTATACTCTCGTCACATGAGGCCGGGTATTGTCATGCACCAGGAGGAACCCAGGACCCACTGCACCAGCGTAGGGTCTGACAATGGGTCCAAGAATTTCATCCCGATACCTAATGGCAGTCAGGGTGCCATTGTCTATCCTGTAGAGGTCTGTGCGCCCCTCCATGGATATGCCTCCCCCACCACCAAAACGGCCATGCTGAACCATGTTACAGGCAGCATAACGTTCTCCATGGCTTCTCCAGACCCTTTCATGTCTGTCACATGTGCTCAGGGTGAACCTGCTCTCATCTGTGAAAAGCACAGGGCGCCAGTGGTGGACCTGCCAATTCTGGTGTTCAATGGCAAATGCCAGTCGGCTCTATGGTGCCGGGCAGTGAGTACAGGGCTCACTAGAGGATGTCGGGCCCTCAGGCCATCCTCATGAAGTCTGTTTCTGATTGTTTGGTCAGAGACATTCACACCAGTGGCCTGCTGGAGGTCATTTTGTAGAGCTCTGGCAGTGCTCATCCTGTTCCTCCTTGCACAAAGGAGCAGATATCAGTTCTGGGTTAAGGACCTTCTATGGCCCTGTCCAGCTCTCCTAGAGTAACTGGCTGGCTGTCTCCTGGAATCTCCTCCGTGGTCTTGTGACTGTGCTGGGAGACACAGCAAACCTTCTGGCAATGGCATGTATTGATGTGCCATCCTGGAGGAGTTGGACTGTATCGCCTCATGCTACCGGTAGTGACACTGACCCTAGCCAAATACAAAACTAGTGAAAAACAGTCAGAAAAGATGGAGTAGGGAAAAAAATGTCAGTGGCCTCCACCTGTAAAACCATTCTTGTTTTGGGGGTCGTCTCATTGTTACCCATCTAGTGCACCTGTTCATTTCATCAACACCAAAGAAACTGAAACTGATTAACAACCCCCTCGGCTACTTAGCAGACCAGATCAATATCCCAGGAGTTTAAATGACTTGAAGCTATACTCTGATTAAAAAGCCTTCCTTTAATTTTTTTGAGTGTATATTGGAATTTATGCAGCTTTTACTTTCTAACTGCCTATCATATTTCTTGGAGGTGCTAAAATGCCAGGGTAGTACAAAAACCCCCCAAATGCCCCCTTTTTGGAAAGTACACACCGCAAGGAATTTGCTGAGAGGCATCTTAATCCACGGAAGATTTTTTTTTCTCTTTTTTTTAGACAGATTTTTGGAAAATAGCAATTTTTTTTTCTTTACCGCAAGGCTGTCACTTAAATTATATATTGCTCACACATGCCATGGCAATATGTGGAATAACAGAGAGAAGGAGAGAAGTGCCTCTAAGTGCAATATGCCTCTTTATTAAAGTATATATGTAGGAACATTCACACAGGTAAGGTAATTGTAAGCATAAAAACCGTAGTTAACAGTGGGGTGGTATACTGTTGCAAGGTGAATGGTGGAAAGTCACGAAAAATTCTTCCACCATTAACCTTGCAACAGTGGCAAATCACTTCTTTCATTGATGTGTTCTCTCCCTCCCACTGGTTAATTGATTAATTAGTCCCGCGCTCCCTATATATTCATCCTTGTCCTTCCACCTCCCCCTGCTTGAAAAAGGAGCGCATTTCCACCTTCCACGGCCAGCGCATGCTCCGAAACGCGTCGCACTGCACCTTGGGTATCTGGCGTCATCACGGCCACGCCGCCACTGCGCTCCAGCGTGCGTTCCACCTGGCTGAGGGAGGACGTGCACGCCGGCCGGCCTCACCACTGTTCCCCTCCAGCCACCACGCTGCTCCAGCCGAAAGCTGACCTCTCCATACCGCAGAGAGATGATGGCTCTTCACCCTGGATACCACCCCACTGTTAACTACGGTTTTTATGCTTACAATTACCTTACCTATGTGAATGTTCCTACATATATACTTTAATAAAGAGGCATATTGCACTTAGAGACGCTTCTCTCCTTTCACCGACAGAGCCTGCTACAGCTTATTTGGAAGCCTTGCCCTCAGTGCCACATGGATTCCC